TATTGAAAATCACAAATTCGATGGTTTTACGATGGAATATGTTAAAATGTGTAAAATATTAGAGTTTTGAGAAACTTATTGAAAATCACAAATTTGATGATTTTACGATCGAATATGTTAAAATGTGTAAAATATTAGAGTTTTGAGAAACTTATTGAAAATCACAAATTCTATGATTTTGCGATCGCACATGTTAAAATATGCAAAATATTAGAGTTTTGAGAAACTTATTGAAAATCACAAATTCGATGGTTTTACGATCGCACATGTTAAAATATGCAAAATATTAGAGTTTTGAGAAACTTATTGAAAATCACAAATTCGATGGTTTTACGATCGAATATGTTAAAATGTGTACAATATTAGAGTTTTGAGAAACTTATTGAAAATCACAAATTCGATGGTTTTACGATCGCACATGTTAAAATATGCAAAATATTAGAGTTTTTAGAAACATTGAAAATCACAAATTCGATGGTTTTACTATCGCATATGTTAAAATATGCAAAATATTAGAGTTTTGAGAAACTTATTGAAAATCACAAATTCGATGGTTCTACGATCGCACATGTTAAAATATGCAAAATATTAGAGTTTTGAGAAACTTATTGAAAATCACAAATTCGATGGTTTTACGATCGCACATGTTAAAATATGCAAAATATTAGAGCTTTGAGAAACTTAATGAAAATCACAAATTCGATGGTTTCACGATCGAATATGTTAAAATGTGTAAAATATTAGAGTTTTGAGAAACTTATTGAAAATCACAAATTCGATGGTTTTACGATCGAATATGTTAAAATGTGTAAAATATTAGAGTTTTGAGAAACTTATTGAAAATCACAAATTCGATGGTTTTACGATCGCACATGTTAAAATATGCAAAATATAAGAGTTTTGAGAAACTTATTGAAAATCACAAATTCGATGGTTTCACGATCGTACATGTTAAAATATGCAAAATATAAGAGTTTTGAGAATCTTACTGAAAATCACAAATTCGATGGTTTTACGATCGCACATGTTAAAATATGCAAAATATAATAGTTTTGAGAAACTTGTTGAAAATCACAAATTCGGTGGTTTTACGATCGTACATGTTAAAATGTGTAAAATATAAGAGTTTTGAGAAACTTACTGAAAATCGGAAATTCGATGGTTTTACGATCGTACATGTTAAAATATGCAAAATATAATAGTTTTGAGAAACTTATTGAAAATCACAAATTTGATGGTTTTACGATCGCACATGTTAAAATATGCAAAATATAAGAGTTTTGAGAAACCTACTGAAAATCACAAATTCGATGGTTTTACGATCGTACATGTTAAAATATGCAAAATATAAGAGTTATGAGAAACTTGTTTAAAGTCACATATTCGATGGTTTTATGATCGTACATGTTAAAATGTGCACATATTAGAGTTTTGAGAAACTTGTTGAAAATCACAAATTCGGTGGTTTTACGATCGTACATGTTAAAATATGCAAAATATAGAGTTTTGAGAAACTTATTGAAAATCACAAATTCGATGGTTTTGCGATCGTACATGTTAAAATGTGGAAAATATAAGAGTTTTGAGAAATTTCCTTAAAGTCACAAATTCGATTGTTTTACGATCGCACATGTTAAATATGCAAAATATTAGAGTTTTGAGAAACTTATTGAAAATCACAAATTCGATGGTTTTACGATCGCGCATGTTAAAATATGCAAAATATTAGAGTTTTGAGAAACTTATTGAAAATCACAAATTCGATGGTTTTACGATCGAATATGTTAAAATGTGTACAATATTAGAGTTTTGAGAAACTTATTGAAAATCACAAATTCGATGGTTTTACGATCGCACATGTTAAAATATGCAAAATATTAGAGTTTTTAGAAACATTGAAAATCACAAATTCGATGGTTTTACTATCGCATATGTTAAAATATGCAAAATATTAGAGTTTTGAGAAACTTATTGAAAATCACAAATTCGATGGTTCTACGATCGCACATGTTAAAATATGCAAAATATTAGAGTTTTGAGAAACTTATTGAAAATCACAAATTCGATGGTTTTACGATCGCACATGTTAAAATATGCAAAATATTAGAGCTTTGAGAAACTTAATGAAAATCACAAATTCGATGGTTTCACGATCGAATATGTTAAAATGTGTAAAATATTAGAGTTTTGAGAAACTTATTGAAAATCACAAATTCGATGGTTTTACGATCGAATATGTTAAAATGTGTAAAATATTAGAGTTTTGAGAAACTTATTGAAAATCACAAATTCGATGGTTTTACGATC